GAACTCAACATTAAAATATTAAATAAATATATTTAGTTACAGTTAAAATATTAAATAAATATTTAATAATTACAGTAATTCAGTTTATTAATCTTGCACTGTTTTTCTGGGATTCGCGTTTTTCTTTTACTCTTCTTTTTTACTCAGTGCATCGCGTACCTTGCGGAATTTATTGGCGAAACTGCTCCAGAACGGTCGTGCAGCAAATTCGACGAGTGGTCGCGCGCCCAGTAAAAAACCCGCTTGTGATGCATTCATTCCAAGTTGTTTGAAGTAAATAGCTAGCAATGGGAAAAGTGAGCCAAATGAGGCGAAATAACAGACGTAGAAGAGCCTGGCCACAACCAGATCACGCGGATACTCATGGCCCAGAATGCGAACAATTCGACCGGTCGTGGTCGCACCGGTACCACCACCTGGTTCCATTTTGTGGCTTCAGACGATATTCATCGGCAGTACAAGGAGCAGCAGCAGCAGCGGTGCATCGATTTTGTCTTCCTTCTCGGCTCAAGCTCGGCCTTTTTCAAAAATAATGCAGCCTGGAAGCAGCAGCAGCAGCCAGGAATGCGCCAATCCATGGAAAAATGGGAAATCTGAGTTAGCGCGAGGAGCAGCAGCATAAGGCTTGCCTGAGGGAGGAGCGCCCTCGCTGTTGCCTCTATTGGCAGCTCGCCCAGGCTTGAGAAAATTGACTCTGTCTGTTCTTCTGGCCAGGCCTGGCCTAAAAGATGAAGTCCTGCGGGGCCAGAGACGCGCATCGGAATGCGCACCAAGCTGTTTTCTAGTCTGCATTTCTCATCCAAACATTCCTAACACTTACTTTTCAGCAACATGCCTAGTCCAAGCCTATATACCTCATAATTCCTTAGAAATCCATGCACAGGATTCGCAAGTCTCCGAGCAGAAAAAGTGTGTATATCTGTGTACGCTGGTGTTTTTCCGTGTGTCTTTGTGCATATGTATGTGTGTTTAGGTGTGTGTATGCGTGTTTGTATGTATAGGTATATGTGTATGTATATCCTTATGTTTATGTATGTGTTTGTGAATAAATGCAT